ATGCTGAAGGGACTGTTGTAAGAAGAAGAAACAGAGAGCGAGAGCAAGAGCAAGAGCAAGAGCTAGAGAGAGACAGGGGGGGGGGAGGGGGGAAGGAACACAGGCATAAAATTAAAATGGCAACTAATAACTATCTATCAATAATTACCTTAAATGTAAATGGCTTAAATGCTCCAATCAAAAGACATAAGGTAGCTGAATGAATAAGAAAACACGACTCATATATATGCTGTCTACAAGGGACCCACCTCACAACAAAAGACTCACACAGGATGAAAGTGAAGGGATGGAAAAAAATTTTCCAAGCAAATGAAAATGGAAATGGAAAAAAAGCTGGTGTAGCAATACCCATATCTGACAAGATAGACTTCAAAACAAGGGCCATAAAAAGAGACAGAGAAGGTCACTACATAATATTAAAAGGATCAATCCAACAAGAGGATATAACCCTGGTAAACATACACACACCAAATACAGGAGCACCAAAATATATTTTAAAACTTCTGGAGGACTTTAAGGGAGAGATCAATACCAACACAATCATAGTGGGTGACTTTAACATGACATTGACACCACTGGATAGATCTTCTAGTCAAAAAATTAGCAAGGAAATAGAGTCCTTAGAAGTCCGACTGAACTAGATCAGTTGGACTTCACAGATATTTGTAGAACATTTCAGCCCAAAGCTGCAGAATATACATTCTTCTCAAGTGCACAGGGGTCATTCTCAAAGATAGACCACATGTTAGGACACAAAGCAAGTCTCTACAAATTCAACAAGATTGAAATCATATCAAGCATCTTCTCAGGTCATAAGAGCATGAAACTAGAACTCAATTGCAATAAAAACACACAAAAACATTCAAACACTTGGAGGCTAATTAGCATGTTATTAAACAAAGAATGGGTTACTAATGAGATCAAGGAAGAAATTAAAAACTTCCTGAAAAATGATGAAAACAAACACACAACAACACAAAATCTATGGGACACAGAGAAAGCAGTTCTGAGAGGGAAGTTCATAGCACTACAGGCCTACCTCAAGAAACAAGAAAAATTCCTAATTGACTTTCTAACCCTACTGCTTAAAGAACTGGAAAGTAAACAAAAAGAAAAACCCAGAGTTAGTAGGAGGAAGGAAATAGTAAAGGTCAGAGCAGAAATAAATGACTTGGAGACCAAAAAAAAAACAATTCAAAAAATCAATGAAACAAAAAGCTGGTTCTTTGAAAAGATAAACAAGATTGATGGACCTTTAGCCAGACTCACTAAGAAACAAAAACAGAGAAACCAAATAAACAAAATCATAAATGAAAGAGGAGAAGTAACTGACACCACAGAAATACAAAGGATCATCAAAACATACTATGAACAATTATACACCAACAAATTGGACAATCTAGGAGAAATGGACAAATTTCTAGAGACATACAGTCTCCCAAAACTGAACCAGGAAGAGATAGAAAACTTGAACAGACCAATAACAACTATGGAAATTGAAGATGTAATTAAGAAACTCCCAGCAAACAAAAGCCCAGGCTCAGATGGCATCACGGGGGAGTTTTACCGAACATTCAGCGAAGATCTAATACCCATTCTCTTCAAACTATTTCAAAAAATTCAAGAAGAAGGAACACTTCCAAACTCATTTTATGAGGCCAGCATAATCCTAATTCCAAAACCGGATAAAGACACTACAAAAAAGAAAACTACAGGCCAATATCCCTGATGAACACAGATGCCAAAATCCTTAACAAAATATTAGCAAATCGAATCCAACAATACATCAAAAAAATTATTCATCATGACCAAGTGGGATTCATCCCAGGCATGCAAGGATGGTACAATATTCGCAAATCAATAAATGTGATACACCACATAAACAAAATGAAAGATAAAAACCATATGATCATATTAATAGATGCTGAAAAAGCATTCGACAAAATCCAGCACCCATTTCTGATAGAAACGCGCAGGAATCTGGGAATATAGGTATCATATCTCAACATAATAAAGACCATATATGAAAAACCTACAGCCAACATCATACTCAATGAGCAAAAACTAAAAGCATTCTCCTTAAGAACAGGAACAAGACAGGGATGCCCACTTTCGCCACTCTTATTTAACATAGTACTGGAAGTCTTAGCCACAGCAATCAGACATGAAGAAAAAATAAAGGGGATCCAAACTGGAAAAAAGAAACTGAAACTGTCATTATTTGAGGATGATATGATATTGTACACAGAAAACTCTAAAGACTCCATCAAAAATCTACTAGACATAATAAATGAATTTGGCAAAGTAGCAGGATACAAAATTAACATAAAGAAATCAACAGCATTCTTATACACCAATGATGAACTCACAGAAAGAGAAACTGAAAAAACAATCCCATTTACCATTGTGGAAAAAAAAAAAAATAAAGATACCTAGGAATAAACTTAACCAAAGAAATAAAGGACCTGTTCACAGAAAACTACAGGTCATTAAAAAAAGAAATAGAGAAAGATATAAAAAAGTTAAAGCATATAACTTGTTCATAGATTGAAAGAATTAACATCATTAAAATGTCCATATTACCCAAAGCAATCTATAGATTCAATGTAATCCCCATCAAAATACCAATGACATATTTCACAGAATTAGAACAAACACTCCAAAAGTTTATATGGAACCAAAAAAGACGCTGAATAGCCACAGCAATCTTGAAAAAGAAGAACAAAGTAGGAGGGATCACATTACCAGATGTCAGGTTATACTACAAAGCCACTGTAATCAAAACAACCTGGTACTGGCACAAGAACAGGCACATAGATCAATGAAACAGAACAGAGAACTCAGAAATTGACCCAAAACAATATACTCAATTAATATTTGACAAAGGTGACAAGAGCATACAGTGGAGTCAAGACAGTCTCTTCAATAAATGGTGTTGGGAAAACTGGACAGCTACTTGCAAAAAAATGAAGCTAAACCACCAACTTACACCATACACAAGAATAAACTCAAAATGAATAAAAGACTTAAATATAACTTGTGAATCCATAAAAATTCTAGGAGAAACTGTACGTAACAGAATTTCAGACATCATATGCAGCAGAATTTTCACTAATACAACACCTAAGGCAAGCGAAACAAAGGAAAAAATGAACACATGGGACTACGTCAAACTAAAAAGCTTCTACACAGCAAAAGAAACAACCATCAAAATGGAAAGGGAACCCACTATATGGGAGACCATAATTGCCAATGATGCATCAGATAAGGGGTTAATTTCCAAAATATATAGAGTGTTCATACAACTCAACAAAAGGAAGACAAAGAACCCAATTACAAAATGGGCAGAGGAGCTAAATAGACACCTCTCCAAATAGGACATACAAATGGCCAAGAGACATATGAAGAAATACTCAACATCACTAATCATCAGAGAGATGCAAATTAAAACAACTATGAGGTATCACCTCACACCTGTCAGAATGGCCACCATCAACAAACCATCAAACAACAAGTGTTGGTGAGGGTGTGGAGAAAAGGGGACTCTAGTACACTGCTGGTGGGAATGCAGACTGGCGCAGCCACCATGAAAAACTCTATGATGTTACCTCAAAAAGTTAAAAGTTGAACTGCCATTTGACCCAGTGATCCCACTTCTAGGAATATACCCTAAGGAACCTGAAACACCAGTCAGAAAGAAAATATGTACCACTATGTTCATAGCAGCACTATTTACAATAGCGAAGATCTGGAAAGAGTCTAAGTGTCCACCAGTAGATGAGTAGATAAAAAAGCTGTGATACATGTACACCATGGAATACTATGCAGCTGTAAGAAAGAAAGCTCTCTTATCCTTTGAGATGACATGGAGGGACCTAAAGAGTATTATGCTAAGCAAAACAAGCCAAGCAAAGAAAGACAAATATCACATGATCTTACTTATTTGTGGAATATAAATGAACTAAACAAACTGATGAACAAAATTGACCCAGAGACATAGAGGTGGGGTACAGACTGACAAACCACAGAGGAGGGAGTGGGGGGGCATGAACCACAGAACTTATATGCATGTATGCATGACCAATGGACATAGACAACAAAGCTAGGGATGGGGCAGTGGGGAGGGGGAGGAGGGTATCAATGGGGGAAAAAGAAGAAACATCTGTAACAAAAACAAATTAATAAAAAATAATAAAAATAAAACCACTCAACAATTTAAAAAAAAAAAAAAAAGAATAATGTATTTCACACTGGTTGGTATGGCTCAGCAGTTAAGAGTGTCAGACTGAGGACCGAAGAGTCACAGGTTCAATTCCAGTCAAGAGCATGTACCTCGGTTGCAGTTCAGTCCCCAGCCCTGGTCAGGGTCATGCAGGAGGCAACCAGTCGATGTGTCTCTCTCTCACATCAGTGTTTCTCTCTTCCTCTCTCTCTCGTCCTCCCCTCCCACTCTGTCTGAAGATAAATGGAAAAAATCCCCTTGGGTGAGGATTTAAAAAAAAAGAAGACTGTATTTCATAAGAGTACTAACCCCAACCTTGATCTCATATGAAAACTGATATGTTGCCCTGGCCAGTTTGGCTCAGCGGTTAGAGCGTCGGCCTGCGGTCCTGAGAGACCTGGGTTCGGTTCCTGCTAAGGGCACGTACTTCGGTTGCAGTTTGTCCCCGGCCCTGGTTGGGTCGTGCGGGTGGCAGCCACTCGATGTGTCCCTTCACGTCGATGTTTCTCTCTCTCTCTCCTTCCTCTCTCTCCCTCCCACTCTATCTGTACAAAAAATGGAAAAATATTCTCGGGTGAGGATAAAAAAAAAATTAAAAAAATAAATAAATAAATAAAAAAGAAAACTGATATGTTCTTATGTCTGTACACTCTGAATTGACACCACTTGTGACTCACAAACATACCTCCATATCCTACCCTACATTAAACTATAATACCTTTATATTGAGATACTCAGTAAGAATTATTCACCAAAGCACACATTCTCCAAGCCTTACCTGTTTTTGGTTCCTCTGAAGGGCTGAGTTTCAGATGCTGGTCCTCAGATAAAAGGCTCACATCAATGCCATACAGTGGATCATTCAAAAAAGAAGGCCTTCTCAGTCTTCCAATTCCAAGAGTCTTCGACATGAAATAGTCCTCTGTGTCACTAATAACCTCATCCGTGGAAAACTGTATGCATTTCATATTTTCAGCCTCAGCAAAAAGAGCCTGTGACACGTCACGTCCAGCCAAGGCTTTGCTGAGATAGCTGCCCGTGGCTGTCTCCGCTTCTGCGTTCTCCAGCACATTTGCTTCTCCTGCCTCACTGCTGTTGACCTTTGTTTCTGACTCGATTAGTAACTCAGAGAGGACAGATCTGGAAAGCTGGGGGCACTCAGGTGGTATATCTTCAGTGTCTTTCTTTTCTCTTTCTGAAGAAGGTCCAGTCATGGGTTTTTGTCTGAAGGTGGTGCATTCATCCAGAAGACGCCTTAACTGTTCCTCAGAGAGAAGTGATGTTGAATCTAACTGATAAAACAAATCAAAAGTTTTCACAGTCAATTGATTGAGTAAACATTTATTTCTGCTAAGCTTCCAGTGACACAATATAAATCCAAGTGCCCAGAAACCCTTTACACACAACACCCAAATAGAAAAATCATTCACTTTAAGGTATCCAAAATGGACAGCCTCCCTAGAGAATGCGTTTAGAATCAATCAGGTACTGAAACATAGGGAAAAGTCCCACAACACTGACGGAAATTAATTACTTCACCAAATCAACCACTGACACTCTCTCTACACATATCAGTAACTTGAGCTGAAATGGAGATACCAGAAAAGCACCTTCAATTTTATAAATCTCAGAACATCAAGCAGGAAAGTGAGCAACCACCTTTTGGATAAAGAGCCAGTGGTCCTGCCATGATCTCCAGTAGGTGTTTCCCTGTTCCCCCCACTTCTCAGTGTGAACCCCATCACCACCCAATTCCTTAACTGGAAAAAATCCCAGGCGAACAGGGCCAGCTTCGCCTGCCCCTGGGGACTCCCCACTCCAGTGTCTGTCCACAGCCCTCAGCAGACAATCCCACTGAAGACAGAGAAGGAGGGGTGAGGGGTGGCGCATCCTGAGATGCACAGCGGCTTCAGAGCTCCGGGTGGAGACAGAGGCCAGGGGCATTCCAACCGCAGTGCATTCTGGGAGGAGGATGCGCTCCAACACGTTTACTCTCTGCTCGTAAAGCTTATCAGGGCTGAGTGTTTCAACCAAGATCTTAACGATTTTAAAACATTTTTTTTATCTTCTCAGGAAATAAAATATCAAATAAAAGTATAAGGCTATGTTCTACAAGGATTCAACTAAACAGCATGCCACTTGAATTGCAATGATCTCAAAGAGGAATGGGATTCAACTATCTTGAATCACAGTGAAAAAAAAAAATCTTTCTCTAAAGAATCAGCACCATCTCTGATTTACATCATGTATTATCTAGAAAAATATGAGTCCTCCTTTACAGGAGAATGAATTATCAAAGAACAGGAAGTCCCCATGAGAAAACCTAAACTTTAATTGCAATGGCCTTAATATCCATGTCAGCAAAATAAAACAATGCTATTGGCCTACTTTGTGGCACACAGTAAGAATTAACCAAATAGTCTGCATATGTAAAGTAGTGGAAGAGGGACGCTGTCACTGGAACTAGTATCGTCAATCCCTCATTATTGCACAATGCTTCTAATGCAGCTAACAAAAGACAATATGTAGAACAAATTCTGTATCATGTGTTTAAAATATATCATGTGTTTTTAAATTATATTTAACTTCTATAAATTAAAAACTAGTTCTCATAGTAGCAAGTGTCATTATGAGTTCGAGAGTAACAAGAAACTGTCTGGGAATATATTCTTTTTTTTTTTTAATCCTCACCCGAGGACATTTTTCCATTTTTTGTTCAAATAGAGCGGGAGGGAGAGAGAGGAAGAGAGAGAGAGAGAAACATCGATGTGAAGGGACGCATCGAGGGGCTGCCACCCGCACAACCAACCAGGGCCGGGGACAAACTGCAACCGAGGTACGTGCCCTTAGCGGGAACCAAACCCGGGTCTCTCTGTACCGCAGGCCGACGCTCCAACCGCTGAGCCAAACCGGCCAGGGCGGGAATATATTCTTAATAATTATCTGGGATTCAAAATTCATGTAATTCACCCTAAGGTTAACATACCTGTCAAAAAATAAGAATTGGATTATATCTCTGCAAATCCTATTTCATTCACTGGACATTTTGGGCATCCAGATGTGGTACATTACCTATTATTAGGAGCTCTCCCTTTACTGTACTACGTAAACCTAGTCAACTAAACAACGAAGGCTGTCCTTGTATGGTACAGGATACTTAAAATACCTTTCAAAATCTGCTTATATAAAACAGTTTATAATCAATATACAATTCCCTAGGATTTAGATTGGGTCCACTGAGTGCTATCCTCAGCAAACATCCTCATTAAAGGCTTGTCATATGAAATTTCCAGATACTAGGAAAAAAATCAGTCCACACTGTTAACAAGAGGATGAAGAATTACAGAAGGAGGTGTTGTGGGGCGGCAGGGGGCTGGTAGATTATCTGATATGTTTGACCACTTCCACAAATAATGTTGATAAGATAGCTGGTTGACAGTTCTGATGATGTATTTGGCTAGACACAAAAAAGTAAGTAAAAGCAAAAAGCAATTGTGAACTCTAAACAAAAAGCTCTATGAAAAGAAAGGAAAGGTCGTGCTTCAGATAGATAACAGAAAATTAAGCAAAAGAAAATAAGATAATTATTAACCCTAGGGCAAACAAAAAGCTATACCAGAAAGGATACCATAGGATACTACTTGCTTTTGCTATAAGTAATATTTACAATCATCATAATATGAATAGTGATAATTGAGGTAACCAAAAATTGTGACTTAACTATTTTGGGGAAATGGGAGAGAAAAAAGATGTTTGGAGTAACAAAGTTAAATTCTTAGCTACCATCACAGGAAGTCAATATATAATTGATGTAATAATATAACACCATTATTAATATAAAGTCTCCTATCCTTGTAAATCAATATAAAACTGATGTAAATCAATTGAAAAACAAGTTACTATGAAACAATGTAGAGGTAGAGAGTAGGAAGGAATCTAAGGGAACTAACAGTGGCTGACTCTGGAGAACAAACTAAGAGGCGGTGAAGGCTGGGACAAGGAGCTCCATTTTTGTTAAAATGTATAGTTATAATTTTTAATATCATTATAATTATTTTATTACTATAATAAAAATTTCAATTAACTTAAAGTATAAAAAATAATTTAAATGTATTCAAAATTTTAATAAAAATGTATTTAAAAATAAAACTCTGAAATAGTAAAAGGGAATTTTCAACTAATTATATCTTTGGACATCAGAGACAGACCCAGGTTTCATGGAGCCTGAAATGTATATGATCTTGGAGCAGGGGGAGGTTACTTCTTTGGAAGGCAGCTATGCTCACCACTATACCACCAACGCAGGGAGGTTACTTCTTTAAGAAAAATAATATAAAATTACAAACAGAAAATAGGTACAAAGTGAAGTTGTTGGGTTTTTTTTTAGAATGTGAAAAATCACAACAGATTACTGAAGCCTTGGAAAATTGAGTCCATTTCTTATGCCATCTCTTTAAGTCATTTACCAAAAATACTTATACAGAAATGCTTTCCGATGGCAACCTAGCTTCCTCTCCCACTCAAGGTTCAGTGAGGGGCCTTCTGTGGGAGGCCAAGCTTCATAAGTCCCACATCCATGCTGTTGTCCTGGTTGGTGTTCTACCCACATCCCCAGGGTCCAGAAACTCCCACAGGACTTCTTCCATGGAAAAGAGTCGAATAAGAGCCTCAACCTGGATGGTACTGTTGTTCATGGTGCAGCTGTCCAGGCAGCCATTCTATCTGGAGACAAATCCAAAAATGTTGAAGATTTGCTGTTGTTGGATGTCACTCCTCTTTCCTCTGGCACTGAAATAGCTGGTGGGGTCATGGCTGTTCCCGTCAAGTGCAATACTAACATTCCTCCCAAGCAGACACAGACCTCCACTACCTATTCTGACAACCGGCCTAGTGTGCTCACTCAGATTTATAAAGGTGAGTGTGCCATGGCCAAGGATAACAACCTGCTTGGCAAGTTTGAAGTCACAGGCACACCTCCTGCACCCCGTGCTGTCCCTCAGACCGAAGTCACTTTGGATATTGATGCCAATGGCATCCTCAATGTCTCTGCTGCGGATAAGAGCACAGGAAGAAAGAACGAGATCACCATCACTAACAGCAAGGGTCGTCTGAGCTAGGAAGAGACTGAACGAATGATCCAGGAAGCTGAGAAGTACAGAGCTGAAGATCAGAAGCAGTGGGACAATGTGTCTTCCAAGAATTCACTTGAATCCTATGCATTCCACATGAGAGCAACTGTTGTAGATGAAAAACTTCAAGGCAAGATCAATGATGAGAACAAACAGAAGATTCTTGACAAGTGCAATGACATCATCAGCTGGCTTGATAATTTTAAACATCAGCAGAGAGAGCTGGAAAAAGTGCAACCCCATCATTACCAGGCTGCACCAGAGTGCAGGAGGCATGCCCGGAGGAATGCCTGGGGCTCCCGTGCCGGTAGAGCCCCTCCCTCCGGTGGTGCTTCCTCTGGGCCCACCACTGGAGAGGTTGAGTAAGCCAACCTTGAGCATAGATTTAGCATTGTTCCACACAAAATATTGAAGGACCCAAATTTGTAGCAGATTCCATGCAGTTTTAAAAGTTGAGCAGCTGCATAGTAAATAACTAGGCATTGTTGATACTTGAATATAGACTGTGTGCACAGGGAAAACAAATACTGCACTGCATAAGCACTGCATTGTAAAGTGGAAAATTGATGTCTTAAATAAAACTATTTAAAATTGGTACAAAATGCCTGGCTGGTGTGGCTCAGTGGTTGAGTGTGCACAATGCACCAAGATTCCTGGTCAGGGCACATGCCTGGGTAGAGGGTGTGCAGAAGGCAGCCAGCTGATGTTTCTTTTTCATCAATGTTTCTGTCTCTCTCTCATTCTCCCTTCCACTCTCTGAAATCAATAAAAAATGTATTTAAAAATTAAAATTAAAAAAAAAAAATTTGGGACAAAAAAAAAAAAGAGGAGCTTTCAATGGCTTCATAATTAATCGACTTCTGGGTGCTCCAAGGTTAAGGTCAAGTCTGTGTGCACAGAAATCAGCTCATCTTCATCACCCTGCTGCTCTGGGGAAGAAGCCTGGTGAGAAAGAAAACATGATTCGAACTTGGGCTTTGGTCCCAGCTTTGCCACCTTGTGCCTGTCACCCAAAGTACCCATCTCCTTCAGCTGGAAATGAGGAACTGCAGAAGATGATCTCTAACTTCTAGCTATAAAATTACTTTTTATGAATAACTACTCTAAAAATAAAAATAGCCCTGGCCGGTTTTGCTCAGCAGTTAGAGCATCAGCCCATAGAC